CGGCAACATCAACTGACGGAAGAGCTGGGCACGAATAGCCTGAAGAATCTGAATCTGAAACATCGCCACTAGCCTTGGCAATATTCACCTCTGAAGCTTGAATAGCTTTTCCTTTATTCTTCACGGCTTGCAATTTTGGGCATTCGGCTTTCCAATGTCCATCCTCTCTACAAAAGACACACTGATTCCTACCAACTGCAGGATGCCCCCCTCTAGACTGCGATCTTCTCCCACGGTTTGGACTTTTAGCTCTTGCAACCAATGCCCCCACAACCAGCTCGATAGAAGTCTCCTTATCCTTCTTTCGAAGTTGATAGTTCACAAGGGCTGCGGTGACCTCACTATACGAAAGAGATGCCTTCCCATTAATAAGAGTGAGGACGAAGGTCTCATATTCCTCGTCGGGCAAGGAACTCAATAACAACAATGGTTTATCCTCATCTTCAACAATGACATCTACGTTCGCCAAATCTGCAAGTAGCTTCATGTAGTGGTTCATGTGATCACTAATGGATGTCCCCTTCTTCAATTGGAAGCGATAAAGCCTCCTCTTCAAATGCAAACGATTTTCGACACTCTTCGTCAAATATTTGCCCTCTAGGACCTCCCAAATCTTCTTTGCCGAAGTTTCATTCATCACATCATATTTTAGATCTTGGGTAAGGCAAGACCTAATCACACCACACGTCGTTCTATTCATCTTATTCCAAACCTTTTCATCCATGTTGTCCGGTTTCCCGTCCAACTCCAATGTATCTTCCAATTTTTTTGCATTTAGCGCATCCATGACTTCACATCTCCAAAGTCCAAAATTATTTGTGCCGTTGAACTTTTCCACAACACTAGAAGAACCCTCCCCATGTTTATCCTTTCCAGCCATATATCTCAAAGCACCCAAACAATTGCGGAACAAACAAGAAAATAGATCCAACTTGAAAAAGATAGAAACTTTACCACAAAGATCCCACCTTTATCACCAATCGAAGCTCTAGATGAACTTCCCAACTGATCTATACCTCCAAAAAGCTCAAGCGTTGCCCGGAGCTCTGATACCACTTGTTGTGCTTTGAGAATCCAAACCAATCGCCAAGAAAAGATAAACCAATACACCAACAAGCACAAACAATCACTAACACCAGTTTTACGTGGTTCGGCAAGATGCCTACGTCCACGGGGCAAGGAGGGGGGAGTTTTCACTATTAGAAATCAAGAGGAACAAACTAGGGTTACAAATCTCTCATAAACCCTCAACAATCAACTCTCAATCTCTCCAATTGCTCCTAGAATAGAAGCCCAAAAAAAACTCTCTCTATCTGCTCAAATTCGTCCTTGCTCTTCACCCTAAAAAACACCCAAAGGGTATTTATACAAATCCAAAACGAAGCGGGTCTGAAAACAGGCCCAACTCAAAACCGCAGCGGCGGTCGACCGGTGCGGTCGACCGGGCCGGTCGACCGCCACCCTGACAACCTGAATCCTGAGCCTGGAACCTGATCTCTACCAATTCTACAAGAATATCTACATGCAGGTCTCATTCTACGTACGTACGTACATGGTGTTCTAATTAGAAAAATGATAGGGGCATACCCCCAACCACATCTCAAACCACACCCCCTCTCTCATATGCTACAGTACATCGGGCCACACATGAGATTTTAAAATCTCATGTGGGGCCCGGTGTACTGTAGCATATGAGAGAGGGGGTGTGGTTTGGGATATAGTTGGGGGTGTGCCCCTAGTGCCACCCTTTTAATACAATAATTACTCTCTCCACTCCACTCCACTCGCTTCTCCTGTGTAAAATTTCTACGCAGCTGGCATCGTCTGAAAAGGACTTTTGATCGAGAAGAAAAATTATAAAATTTTAGTCCCTTGGAGTTGCAATAAACGCTACTGTGACATGAAAAGGTACGCGTCAGCTACCAACCACTCGATTCAAGTAAAAAACTGAAGTGGAAATGTGGGAGAGGGAAGCAGGTGAGAAATTAATTAATTAAGGAGCACAAAAGAGACACGTACACAGTGCAGAGGTTGAAAGCGTCCGCTACAAGCGAAAGAAAACGGGCTTACTTGCTTTGTCTCATCAAATAATCCAACAAAGTTCGCTCGATGGGGCAAACTATTTCCCTAACAAGGAAACATCAAGGGCCGAAGAAGAAAAAAAACGCTTCATATGCACACCACAAGAACAACAACAATTAAGCAAAAAATCCCATAGGCGCTCCTTTGTCCGATTGCGAGTTACGATAACTAATTTAACATATTGAATCTTGATGCATATATTACTACGGTTATCAGCGTGGTCGGACTGACTACAACGGCCACCATCGATGACATGACATGCGTATATCAAATTCTTATTAATTACGTACATCAGTTACCTTCATCATCCATCTTCCCGTGTGATAAGATACTCTCTTAATTTTCTATTACTTTCTCCGACAGCCGTGGGGCCCACGAAGGTGGTCTCCCAGTGGCCTTAGGAGACACACTGCTCTCTTGCCTCGTTAGATTTGGTACATGTCTCTGAGGTGATTCTTTGTTGCCTCTCAAAGTTTTGGGAGAGCTTCTGAGCCTCAAGCGTTTAGTGTATAGCAGCGTGTGTTCACGTGAGAGCAATGGCCTACTGATGTTTATGGAACGCAACAGACAAGCTGGGCCCAGGCATACAGCTCCACTGCTGCAGAACTTTGATGGAGGCCATGTTCTCCGAATCCAAGTTATGGTTTCCTTCAATGCAATTCTAACTGTAATTGCGATATAAATGTCAGTCGCATACAGCTGTAGTCGTTATAACTGTTGTCACGTACAGTTTTAGCTACACTTTTTCTAAACAATTCGCAATCTACAATTATATAATTTCACGGTGTTTGTTTTAGAACGTCAAGATTTTTTTGGATTTATATTTGAGTTTCGAAGAAACTAGAGTTGCAATTTAAACCCACTTTGTTGCTTCAAATATTTCAGCTGAGATTTTATCCAAATTTACAACTGCCTTTTTTTAAGGAATATAAATAATTACATTTGTTAATCACTGAAAAATAAACAACTATAACTTATCCATAATTAGGGTTGGGCGTGGGCCAAGTCAGACCCTAGCCCCGCCATGACCCGACCAGACCCACGACCCAACCTGGCCTAGGATATACCTGGGTCAGTGGCCGGGCTGGGTCAAGCCCTAGACCCGTGGTTAGGGAAATAGGTCAGGTCCAGCCTATGCTGGCCCTATCCACGCGCGACCTGACCCAGCCCTACAAATGATATATTTTTTGTTAGTCTAGTATTCCCTTAGCCCTTTTGGGTCTGCAGTTTGCTACCAACAAAGCTAAAATGTCTTAGGTATTAGGCTCGTGGGCCTTTTGGCCTACTAAGAAATAAAGCAGCGATCTTTAAGATCGCTGGTGTCTACCTGGAAGGATTAATACAAGTTTAAATTATTAAAATATAAATTAGAAATAATTTTATAATTATAAATACAAGTATTATATAATTAACAATATTTTAAAATTAAGAAAAAAAGTTAAACGAAAAACTTATAGGCCGGCCCACGATCCACGGGCCATGCGCCAAATCAAACCAGACTCACACCTGAGCGGATCGTGGACCGGGTTGAGTCTAGTCCCAGACTAAGGATTAGAAAAATAGGTCCAGCCATCATGACCCACCCGGGCCCGGATCAAACTCGGTCCGATCTTGAATCCTGACAGGCCAGGTCACAGACCTGAGCCGACCCGCCCATGCCCACCCCTATCCTGGTGTTGAATGCAACTACAGCTGTAACCCTGTGAACAAATAACCTCTTATCGTGATGTCATGCTGAAGTAGCACTACATTGTGCACACTGTTGTTCTGTTGGAAAGTCCGAATTCATATGCTCTTGGTAACATATCACTATCCTTTAAAAAATAAAAATAAAAAGGTTACTTTTGCCGTGGTTTAACTTTTTTTAAATAACTTCAATCAAACATACATATATGGGACAAAAATCAAAGCCAAACTTTAGAAAATCATAAAGCTATAATCCATGTACATCTGTATTTGTTTTATATCCACGTGTGATACAAAAGAATTCATTAGTATGTTCTTTATATTTGAAAAGTTAGTATTAGACATCTTGATCATCAAAATTAACCTTAAATCCATAATTTAAGAATTAAAACTATTGTAACAGTATGACCAATATGTATTCGCATATTTCAGATACAGACATTTTACTACAAAACTATATCCATATTCATATCCTATCGATTGTAGATTTGATTAATCATATATGTATCCATTAGGATACGGTTAATGATATGTCCTCAAATACAGATACAGATTAACACCCCTAACTGAAACTCATGCACGCTATAACTTCAGCTAGAACTAGAAGAAACAAGATTCATGCACCTTGCAACTATTTGATTAATTGATGACCTTTTTAACTTTTTTTATCAACATAAGAACTTTAGTTATACATTAGCTCTTTTGCTTGCAGTTCAAAAGCAGGGACAGGAGCAAAAGAAAACAAAACGCATAAATTAGAAAGACAAGAGACAAGGGAGCTGAGTACGGTAATTTGGAGGGTGGCCTGGCCTAAGCCATCAGATTTTGATTCTGTTAATAATTATATGTTGTCACCTGACCCTACAACAGCTCATCATGAACCACCAAACCTCCAAAATAAATACGTTGTAGGCTACAAAGAATAAAGCGCAAAGGATCTCAAATTGATAAATAATGTAGACATTATAGCACAAAAATCAATGATATATCCCCACATAGAAGCAAGAGACATCAATCATCAGTTAATAATCTTGTTTACTAGTGCACAAACCTGAAAACAAGCGCACAACATTAGAAAACATAATCTCTAACAAAGTGAAAAAGTGATGCTCATAATTGATAATTGCTAATATAAGCATAAGAAACTTGGTTAAGTAAACTATCTATCAGTTGATGAAAATAGCTACATCACAAAGAAAGTCGTGAGGAACTCCCCAGAGAAACACTCGAAGGAGAGTAACAAGATAACACTAATTTTTCCGAGGTTACATAATAAAACTGGTTATAAACAAATTCAGCGATAACAGCGAACAAGGTAAAGAGCTTAAGATGAATTAGTCATTATGAAAAGCTAAATATATGTACATTTGATTAGTTGAAAAGTGGGGGGGAAAGGACCTGGGGAGTTTCTATGGGGCTCATAAAAATGGTTAGTAGAAATGAAAATAATCTTATTGATCACTGAAGCAGTGACAAGAATGATCAACGCAAAAAAAGAATAAATGAAATAAATGAATATACAATGGGGAGCTAGCTATTCAACTGTGGAAGATGCAAGAATTGGGAGAGATTCTCAAACTTGCTTGGTCTTCTAACTGTTCTTTTGAGAGGCCTTTTGTTTCCCCTCCATAAGTTGTCAATTTCAGTGTAGCTTAATATGCTGCTTAGATCAATATTACTCTCCTCGAGTTTCTGCTCTAAACTACACCTAGCTTTCTTGGGATGCCTTCTTTTTGCTTCCTTATGGCAAGCTGGGGGAGTGTGTGGTTCTCCATCTGTGTTTGATCTGCAAAATTATGAGGAAATTATGAGCTGAAAATGCTTTTGTAATACATATTCCATCAAAATGTGTCAAGATGGACTACAAACTCGTGATTTTTTAATAAGATTTTATGTACATGATCTAGCTGTAGAACAATTTCGTTACAGAATCTATACATGCATTCAGCTAAATGAAAAGGGTTAATTATGTACCGCTGTTTTGAACTTGCTATCCCTGTAGTGGTATTATGCAGGACCAATTTTTGACTCTTTTACCCCCAGGCCTCAGGGAATCTGAGGGTAAAGATTCAAAAAATCTCACCAAGTGGGGAAACTAGATGGATACTAAAGTTTCAAATAACGATACTACAATGGGTCTATCTGAAATTAACCCAGATGAAAAAGATGATGGTCTTTCTTGATTGTTGTAAGTTGGTTGACATGCTTGTTTTGGAGAAATAAATGGTAGATTTTATCTTGAGAAGTAACCCAATCCATAGTTCATATAAAGTTATTGCAGCGCTTAGCAGGAAGCACGTGACAGAGTTAAATGAAGAAATATTTCACAGCTCACCTCTCTTCGTGGCAAATAGGAAGAGAGAGAGTGATGAACTCTCCATGTGACGGCTTGCATGCAGGGCAAAAGAATTTCTTTGGAGGCGGTTCATGTAGGTTGATGCAGTCAAAATGATACCACTCATCACATTGATCACAAGCAATCATGGCCTTTTGATCATAGGGCTTCCGGCATATGCAATAAAGTACACTTCTTTCTCTCAATAACTGTATTAAACAAGTAACATGAGTTTCGAAGCACAGAGCAGCGAGTAAGACATTAAACAGGTAATAAGAGTGTGGAAGCGATATCAAATAGTGCATGTACCTTCATTTCCTTATCAAAATGGACTGGCAACGATTTTCCCTCAGTTATAAGTTTAAATACCTCACTCAACTCCATTTCACCTGAATCTGATACAACCTGCATTAAGAAGAAATGTATAGAAAATTAACCAGTCTCATCTCAAAACATTAAACTGCAATATAGAAATGGGGGAACATATCTCACCTTCTTGGCAGTCTCAGCCCACTTCAAACTGATCTGTTTTACATCCACGATTTCTTGCATGAAGTGATCTGTGGATGGAATGCCAATGGCCAGACCCTGAAACATGTAAAGTTGCAAACTATCACATGATAAAATTTCACAGTTAAAACAAATGAAGCAGACAAGTGTATCAAGAACCTTCAGTTCAACAGAAACTTGTAGACAGCTATAGCACCAAGAGTTCAGAGAATACAAGATGAAATAGAAAAAAAAACGTATTTGGAAAAGTAGAAGGCTTATCCAAGAACAAATATCTATATCTCAAAAGCAGGTCAAATCTTGTAGACAATTCTAATATGTTTCAGTTTCCAATAACAGCTCCTACTTCCAGCCTTTCTAAAACCATGAACATGCCATTTCAGCTCAAGGCAACAACTAGACTGCGGAAGTCATTCCTACAGGGACTCCCCAACCCAGATCTCCTCACAGCACATGCATAATACTATACAGATAGCTCACTCAATTATCTTCTACCTATATGGACAACCAAGGTGTTCTGCAGTGTATCCAGGACATAATCCTTGACAAGCTAAAGCATGAATTTTAATCTGAAGTTGTACCACATTTATGTAAAGTATCTTATGAAAGCACAACATGTTGAAGGAAAGCAAAACTTCTTATACTGCTCCAAGAAGTAGACAGCTAGAAGATTATTTCATAAGCCAGAAAGTTTTTTTAAGACATAAGGGGAGCTGAGGCTGTTAGGTCAATGCCGGTTTAGAGAACATCTACCAGAAATTCAACTCACTGGTTATAAATTAAATCATATAAAAATTTGTTCCATAGGGATAACAGGTCAGTGTCAGTCTGGAGATCATCTAACCAGAAATTCAACTCACAAGTTGTAAAATCATGGAAAACTAACTAAAAGATCCCCACTACCTCCTTTACCTCTTTCAAAAGGCGCTGAATATGTAAAATAGAAGGCTTCTTCGATCCATTTAATAGCTTATTGACTCTGATTTTCCATGAGTTTTTAAACAAAGCAGACTCAAGACTGCGTCCATCTTGGGGATCATACATCCCTGCCACTGCCACTCCCTGTAATGTACCAAATTACAGATAGAAACTAAATTAAGAAAAAAACGCATTGTACTTACGGTTTGTATAGGCCATTGGTACAGACAGGATCATAAGGCAACAATTTCTTAACAAACAGAGATAAGCATGCAATCTGTGAGACTTGCAAACATACCTTCAAGGCGCGCTGAAGATTTTCAGAGACAAAGCTCAAATCTTTGCCATGGTGAGAAAGAGCGAGATTCACTATTTCAGTCAAATACAACTTGCACTGTGAGGCAAGTTCAACAATTTCTTGCGCCAATGCCACTTCTTGAATCCTAGTAAAAGCATGACATTCAGTAATTACTCACCAATAAGAAGCTTTATGCAGTAAAATGACAAAATTTCAGGAAGTTTCACATATAGGTAAGTATAAATCAGCTTACAAAGCAACCATGTAGTATATTTTGCAATAAATATGCAATAATGAGACTAATATCATCACAACAGTAAAAAGAATGTGTGTAATGAGACTAACCATGTAGTACACAGAGC